TTTTTTAATCTGAAAAATATGTAAATTTCCCACTGTAATTTGATTTATACTAAAAATCATGGCTGTTATAACCATTTTCTCTAACTTGTCTGCCAGTCTGGCTGTCGATCGATATTTTACTGCCTACTGCCGTCAGTTGAGTTTTTAATGCTCGTCCTCCAACGCATTTTCAGATCTATACCCCTCTCACTACCCCATCACCACATTACCACATTACCACCATCGTACCATCGTGGCCACAAATCCAACTAATGTGACATGAACTTACTTCAACTTAAGCTTAAAGTCCTTCAGAACTTGTAATACACAGCACACATACACGCACACTTGCCGTTTTAGGTCGTCTTTTTTGCTTTTTTGCTTTTTATATTTCCTTTGCTCCACTTTAACATAATTCACTTTTTGTTTATGTCCAATGATGTTGTTGATGATGACGACGTTGCCAACTTTAGTTGTGACAACAACAGCAACAATAGCAACAACAACAAATGTACGGCAATAAAATGTATACTAAGTTGAATATTAGCATTGCCTGTGTACTGTGTTCTGCTCAGCTCTGCTCTGCTGCGCTGTGTTGTGTTGTGCTGAGCTGAGCTGTGCTGTCATTCAAGGAAACGTAAAAGGAACGAGCGAAACTCAATGACAAACGTTACAATTGTTGTCATTTTAGTTTAAGCTTTTTTTTATTGCTTTTACGTTGTTGGTGCGGTGCGGTGCGGTGCGATGCGGTGCGGTGCGGTGCGTATTGTTGGGGAAGTGTCAGTGCTGCCAAATACTTTGTTGAATGTTAATTGTTAATTGTAAAATAATGTTCAAGAAACTATGGCATTCATGCATGGTGTTTGAAATTCCCATTCAGCGTAGAAATTTTTATTGTATATTTATTAGTAAAAATAAAAACAAATTTTATCTTCAATGATAACGATTTCTGTCCGTTATCATATTATCATATAATGTTATCTATTCATTTTGCACAAAATATCTAACAACTTTGTCAGAATCATATATCGTATCACATTTTTACAATAAACAACAATAATATTGAGATAACGTTCAAAATTTTAATGCAAAGCAACAACAAATTATTAATAGCAATAGGAGTGTGTTAATTTTATACACTACACAATATATTTTTGAAAATCAGAATATGTATCTATAAAACTTTTCGATAATGCTAAATTTTTCCAAACCCCGGAAAAGGGTTTATATATGTTAAATAAATTCTAATATATAATATAATTTACTGATGTACATTTTACTAATTTAATCTCGATTTACTCTCGATCTGTCAAATTTTGTTGCTCAATCGAACATTATTAGAGTAACCTGACATTTTGTAATAGTGTTAGTAGACATTTATATTCTTCATAAATACATGTATCAAATCAAAAAACACAATTTATCAGCTGTTAATTTCCAGGAAATCTTGCTACTCCGGCAAAATATCTAGAGTATTATAAATTAATCTCGAATGTTATACTTTTTACTAACCGAAAATAAAATTGCAATAAGAGTGCATTAAATGAAGTTCATCTTGATAAAAAAAATTACCCTAAATTTACCAATCGTAAACGATATAGATGTTAATTATTAATATAAATAAGTAAAAAATTAAGCTAAGTAAAATTTAATATTACATCTTAAGATCGACCTAGTCCAATGCTAGATTTCAAGTTCATCCTGATAAATTGCTAGATCTCAAGATCGACCTGATCCATTGTGAATTCTGAAGATCGACTTGGTCCAATGCTAGGTCTTAAGATCGATCTAGTCCAAAGAGGATAAGATATATACCTGCGTCAACTGATTCAACTAAAGCACAACCTGCTCAAAACCACATTATCGGTAATGACAAGTCACTAATATTATATATTCTACATACTGTAACATAAAATTCAATGTTTATATATAAAATTAAAACTTTTTGCTTTATCACAGACGATTGCAAAAACCATAAATTACAGTGAAACGCAAATTTGTAGCTCATTATTCACACCTAATGTATAATATTGAAAGAATAATCTAAGAGTAGTCGGAAAAGCTACTTGCCAACTTCTTCGAGGACCAAATACCGCTCGATAGTTTTGGGACAACAGAAGACAACAACACTAACAAAAACAAAACATAATTCTTTAACAAATTAAGGACTAAACCAATGCCTTAGCAGTTATACAGTCTGTGTATCAGTAACCCAACTTTAATTATGCACATTGTCTATGACAGATTTTTAAGGAAGTAGTTTTTAGATAGCTTGTCAGAGTGTATGGGTAAGGACAAATCTGTTAAACTACCAAAATCAACGAGATGGTTTTAGTTTTTTCTTTTTATCTCTTAAGGTTTTTTGCGAAGAATGTGGTAGTAAGTACAGTGGGTAAAATTTCGCTAATTAGGGATAGTGGAAGGATATATGCTAAACTACCACAGCAACTAACTAACCAACGGTGCCATTGATTACTTCTTCAATTAATCTCGTACTACAATATACAATAAAATAATATAATGAATGATATTCGAAGAAGAACTATATTTTAGATCATTTATAGACATTGTATTGTATTGGGCTAATTGATCAATTACTTTCAACTATTGTTGTAAATTAAAATTAATAAACACAACTTAAATGTTTTCACATTAATTTTTATTTTATTTTCAATAATTTGACTTTAAGCTAAAGTCGTTTTCAGGAAACTGAAGATACTGTTTGAAAATTTATTGGCATAAGGAAATTTATCAATATATATACATATATTTTACTAGCAGATAATGGTGTGATAGCTAATACTTTTAATCCTGTATGTATAAGATCTTAATCTTAATACTTTAATAGAGTTTATACAATTAATACGAGTAGAAATATATATTGATTTTAAAATTTCTGCACTTATTTGTGATACTAATAAATGTTCAATTGCTTATAATTTTAAATCTAATGCATTTTATTTTAGTTTTATACAAAAAGAACAAAAACTAACTATTAAAGCTATGTGCGAGATTGGCTAAATTGAAACTAAATAGAGAAAAATACTTAATTGTGTGTCCACAAAGCATTAAATATTGAGCATATATATTAATAGTTGTTAGAGTGAATTCATTTTTTTGGTGTATATTTTTCATATAATTTATAATCTATTAGATTTCTTTTTTTCAATTTTAACATTTTATTTGGAAGATGAACTGTAAGAGATATTTCAAGTTATATTGTTTAGAAACTACGAATGATTGCCGCTACTATTTTTTTTGTTAATCAAGAATCATGAAAAAGGTTCCAAAGAGAATTTAATTCGTATCTCATGCAAAAAATAACAATTTATCATTTAAATACTATCTACGAGTGTTTGGATTTACTATCCTTCTATAGGTTAAGAACCAATGGAATATCAAATTGGAATGCTTCAGTGAGACTTCTATAGGTTAAGAACCAATGGAATATCAAATTGAAATGCTTCAGTGAGACTTTAACCAATTAAAACCATTTCTTACGAATAAATGGAAAAGATTTCCACTGCAGTGTGAAAATTTCATTTCAGTATTTAGGGAAGGAAGAGGACTTAGGTAGCTCGCATCTCATGTAGCTTTTTTCAGATAGAATTCCACTTTCCTCGTGTTTACAACAACAACAACAACTTATCATTTAAATATTATCTACAAATTCCGGCCCTATACTCCTTTAGTGGGTACGGACACAAAGAAGATTATCTACGTATGATTGGATTTATGAATATTTTGTTAGTGAAGAAACATTCCAATGATCCAAAAGACGATTCAATTTGTATCTTCAACTTCCCAATTGCTCACGGTTACAACAACAACAACAACAACAACAACATATCATTTAAATATTATAGTACAGTATTATTTTTATTAAAAAGAAATATAAATTATATTATATTTCATATTGAAATTTCAAATTCAGTGCAGCACTCCCAACTGCTAAGGAATCATAATGTGAACTTCGTGACTGCAAATTGTTGTTGTTAGTGGAAACCAATTATTAATAGTTTAACATCTGAAAGTAAACAACTAATTTAACTAAATAAGACAACTGGCGAGGCAAGCAAACATACAGACAGACAGACAGATAGACAGACAGAGGATCTGACCGACAGATAACCACATAGAATTATAAGTAATTTGTGCCGGACTGATATAATATCGATATTAACACAAAGTAACTCTGGTAACTCTGCCTAATCAATAATTCCAGATAATTGCAATGGAATTACTTCAATTAGCAATTACCGCAACATTCGAAGGCATTGTTGGCCAAATAACAACAATAACAACAATAACAAACAATAACAACAAATATACTGATTATTAACATTAATATAAGAAACAATTTGTGAAAATTGTGATTAGCGGCAGATATTGCCACATAATTTGTGTAATTTTTATGTTTTTTCCGTTTTTTTTGAAATTTTTTTTTATTTTAAGCAATTTTATATTTTACAACCCAAAAACCTTGTATTAACTTAAGGCAGCAGGCAGCTGGCAGCAGTCAGCAGTCAGGGAGGCGGGCAGTGACTGGTTGCGGCTGAGAAAACTGTTACTATTGTTGTTAATGGATTTTTTGTACAATATTTTATTGTTTTTTTATTTCGACTATAAAAAAAATTAATTTTTTGTAAATAAACAGTGAATGCATTAACGATAACACAACTAAAAATAGCGTCATCGTTATTAGTTGCAAGCAGCACGAAGCTGCACATATAATCCGCTCCAATCTGCTGCGATGCTGGTTTAACCCAGTTGGGAGGCAGTGTTGCAATGCACCAACAGGAATATTAACGAAATACAAGCCAACAACAACAACAACAACAACAGCAACAACAAAAAGTGGTACACAACTTTCGCTGACTAGGAATATCGGCTCAGCAGTAAAAGTTAATTACAATAACAAATTTCCAAAAGTATTTTGCCATTAATTATTTGTGTTACTGCTTAAAGTTTTTTTTTATTGAATTGCATTGCATTGAATGAAAAATGTTAAAATATCTTACCTCAACAAAAATGCCCAAAATTAAACTTCTGTAAAAAAATTCGTTGAAGAACGCAACAGAAGCGAATTTTATGACAAAGTGGCAGCAGCGGCAGTGCCCACTTGGCAGTTGTGTTTTTTTTTTTTATTTTTATTTTTTTTTTTTTTTGAATTAAGTATTTTTATTTTTTTCTATTAGAACTAAATTTATTTTGGTGCATTTACATAGTGTAAAAGGTCTTTTGCGCTTCGCATTGCTTTACATAAAATTTATAAACCGAAAAAATTCAATGCTTTTCGTTAATAAGAAAAAATTTGCACTTTTTCCTTGCACTCTCCTCTTACTTTTCTTTCACATTTGCTTATTTGAAGAAATTTACACAATACACCATCTATATTTATCTTGTTTTCTATACCACTTTCAAAATATTCTTATATTTTCACTAAAAATCTATAAACACTTTTCGAAGTATCAATTTTTCTTATTGTATTGTAAATATACTTATAAAGTATTATTTTAATTCTTGAATTTTTACATTTGATTGCATCTCACCGCAAACACTCGACACACGACAACGACAGAAGAAAAACTTGTGACAATTCAACGCAAAACGAAAGAACAAAAGAAGCGAGAAGCGAAATGGTCGAAAAACTGAATATGTCAGCTTATATTTGAAGAGCAGCATTGCCAGCTCAAATATTTCACATATGTGTACTAAAAATGTATACAAATTTCTAACACGAACTATGTATAATTACACGATAATATATGTTGAAGCTATATGAGCCAGTGCACTTGAGTACTTTTATTCTTTATTAGCTCGAGGTATCTTTAAAACCCCTCTTTACGCCTTGACTGGATTATTGTTTATTACTTCATCAGACTAAGCAATAATTGACCTCAGATCTTTATACCCCCGAGGAGCCTGTAACCATTCTGAGATTCGATAACACGGTGTTAGTAAGTCTGTAAATTTTCGCAAATGTGTAATTAATTTTATAATACTGTAATCACAAGAGACTTTTGTTTGTAATTTTAGCTGTCAAAAATTTTCATTTTGCATTGAAAGCAATAACAATTGACAGCCAAAATTACAAACATGACAGTAAAGTTACAAACAAAACTCTAGTGTGAATCCAGTATAAGTAATTTACAAGACGCACAGGAATATATAATAATTTGTGTTCATTAAAATCCATTAACAAAAATAGTGAGAAGAGAGAAGCAGCTTGGAAATCGATTTCAGGATATTGTAAATTTGTAAAGGAATAATTCAACGTATGCATTTTGTAACGCTCTAGCTATTTTTTACTATTATTTTTAATATTTTTGTTTCATTTTGCACAAAAATTTCATTTATTACTTAAAATTACTTAAAACTATTCACAATAGTATAACTTTGTACTACACAACACAGTACTACGGTAACGGTCCAAGTTATATTACGATTTAAGTCTATTTTTAGTTGGCAAAATTTCAATACAAGATTTGAATTAGTTTTGCTATAGAAATCAAAAATAAAATAAGATATTTTGTTAAAAATTTGCAGAACAATGGACGAAACTGTAGAAAAACTAATCTTTCTAGTAAAAGAATAATATAATAATAGAATAATGTAATAGAATAATGTATATTGCTAAGTAATAATTCTGTGTATTTTTTAAGATTAATGTCATGTTTCTTGAACTCTGAGTTTTCCTTTATATACGGTAATACAATGGACCAATAAGCCTAATTGGATCCTCTAGGGTATAATCAACCTTTGTCATCTTTCAACAGTAGCTAAAACTACATATGTTAATGAAATTAAAATTTGGGAGTTTCCATTGGCCTAAGCTAATTTATACACGTGAAATAGCTTGTTTGTTTATATTTTATAATAAAACATATGACAAATATTTTAAATTTTAATCATTTCCATGTGGGAAATTTATTTTTAAATTATCATCATCAGCGGCGTTAATGAGTAAAACTGCCTAAATGAGATAAGTAAAAACATGGTATTATTTCATTAAACAAATAAATAATTGCCACTTTTTAGCAATTATTTATTTTTTGCTATTTACTTATTCGTTATATTTAAAATTTTTTATATTTATCTTTTTATATAAATATAAAAATTATATATAAATATATAAATTATATATAAATTATACATATTATAACATATTATTATTACATATTATTTTATAGTTGTATTTTTAAGTGTATTTATATTTTATAGTTATATTTTTATATAAAATTTTTTATGATCAATTTTATCAATATTGTGTTGTATTGAGCTAATACAACGATATAATAATTTAAATTATTGTTATAAATAAAAATTAGTAAAAACAACAAATCAAATCACCTGTTTTCAACCAAACAATATGACAATCATATTGTCTTTTGTTATTAGATTTTAGTTTTTAGAGATTTCTATCTGCAATCACACATGCATTTAACATTTTTTAATAAAATCCAAAGAAATTATTAAAACTGTAACATATTTTATTGTTATATTAAAGAGCCTTCTACAAAGTAGCTGATAGCAAAATAATAGGATGTTCCAGCTTATTTTATCCGAATTATTACTTAAGAAAAGTTTAAGTACTTACACTTAAATTTTCAAACTAAGCAAACAGTGAAGCAAGTAGAAAAATAAAAAGCGTTTCAGAATTTTTTATATTGATTTTTAAATTAAATTTTTTAAAAAAAATTGTTTATTTTTTCATTTTAGATTTGAATTAATGAAATAAAATTATTTTAATTAAATTAAAATTAATTTAATTTCTTGTCTTTATTTCAAATTTTTTTTTAATTACAGCTTTATTTTATTTGTAAATATTTTTGATCAACAAGTATTTCTATTATAAGCTATGTAATATATCATTGCAAATATTTCGCAGTTGCTATTACTATTTTGTTTTTTGTTACAGTATTTTATATATCTTTATCTAAATCTTAAATTTTTCCATTTTAAAGTGAAATCGGACGAGATTTATTTGAAATCTGATGATTATTATTTTACTATACAACACTGCTTGTGTTAATATCGTAAATATTTTTACGATATTGGACAAATTAGAAATGCAATGTCAAACAATATTTTGTAGAAAACATTAAAGAATACCTTTCTTTGGTACTCTATGGTATATATTGAAAATAAAGTGATGTTGGGTGAAGCAAGTATTTATAAAATAGGTATTATAATATTTTCGTATATAAATTTATTTTATCCATTTTATTCATTAAATGGGATTGACTTTTGTGAAAGCCTTATAAACAAAGTCCCTGCTCTCTAACCATTTTATAAGTATAATTACTTTGGAATAGCTCGTTACAGTGACTATAATTGAAAAAGGTCAATAATAATAATAAATAATAATAGCCAAATAATAAATTACTAGTATTTTTGGCATTCCAAAGACGATCGCATGCGTTCCAAATATGTTCCAAATGCATAGGAATACATTGAACATACTCTAAATAAAAGCTCTTCATGGCATTTTGACAGTTTAAGAAAGCTGTTTTTGACATATTTACATAAAAAGGTAAATAAATGTTTGGTGGTTGCATTTGCTTGAAAACGATGCACCTCTTTTTAGAACTTCTACTTCCCAAAAAGTACTCAATCGAAGTTAAAAATATGTTTTCAGTTTAAATTGTAAGGTTTGAATGTATATTTACCCTTCATGCAACAATTTTTTTAGCACAGACTAAAAATCAAATCAACAGGCAAGTTGAAAAATCAGCTGCTTGGAATGGAAACAAATGAATTACAACAAATGTAAACACTTTCAAATGGCTCAATCAAAATTAGCCATTTTTAGCCAGAGTAAACGCCATATAAGATTTGTATAAATAGTTTGTGCGCACCTTATTGAGTTAATAATATTACATCACGTAAACAAAATATATGTTGGGACATATAATATACACATAGCAGAAAAAGTCTACGGATATTCACAAAATTTTTCTTGTATTACGCATAACTTTTTTAATTTTTACTCAAATTCATTTTTATTTTCTGTTTTATTTTAACCAAAGAAACAACAATAAAGTTCCAATATAAAAAATGAACAGTTATTCTTTAAAAAAAAATTAAACACAATTATATGCAAAAGTAAAGAAGCAGAAGAAGTCTACGTACATTTCTTAGACAATAAATAAATTATAATGATTCTAGTATAGTTAAAGTTTAGTGTGGAGCAGGGATAAGCCCCCCAGCCACAATGGAGTAAAAGTGCGCAATAGCACTAACTCAAATCACAACAACAACAACAACAACAACAACAACAACAACATACAAATTCAAACAAAATTCAAAAATTTCATAAATTAGAAAATTGGAAAAAAAGTAAAATTTCAGTGTTTTATTTTGAAATTTTCAACATTTTACCATTTGTTTTAATTTTGTATTCAATTTAATTTTCAATTTATGTTAATTATTTATTTTTATACGCAATGTAATTTGCTTGCGTTATACTAGTTTTGCTATTTGTCAAAATATAACACTTGACAGATTGTAACAGTGATACCAATGCCTCGCTTAGCGAATATAGGCCAGCATGCATTTTTTGCCATACTTCAGAAACTCACAACTTACAATTTCTATATATTATTTCTTACCTTTCAAATGCAACTCTGAGTGTATGGCAGCATAAAATTGAACATTCCATTTGGTATTTTTTCAGACTGTTTTTAACTTTTGTACGAGGAAGGTGGTGAAGTCGAAGTGGAAATCGAAATCGAGAGAAACAAAGACATCGTATACATTACGCCCTGATGGAATAAAATTTAGTTAAATAATATTTAAATTTAATGAAAATAGTAGAGTGTTTAATATAAAACGAAAGTGTAAGTGAAAAATTTTATTGCGAAAGTGAAAATTACGTAAGAACATTGGTTTTTGCTAGAAAAATGTGCAAATAAAAAATTTAATAGAATAAAAAAAGATGATTTCATCTTTGGCATAAAGAAAAATATTAAGTGATTACGAAAATTGTTTAAAGAATGAATAATTGAATGAAAATAAGTTATTTGAATGAAAGCGAGTAAAATTGCAAACATAAATAAGCGTAAATATGAAAATTAAATTGTGTTTAAACTGAAGGAAATTGCAAAAAGTCGAGACTCCGCTGGCCAATGAGGCAACACACAGAACTGGTTAGA